CAGCTGGTAGGTTACTAGTATCAGGATCTGGGGAGAGATGGAGGAATGAGGAAATATAAAATGTGAGACATTACTCTTGCTGTGATGGGGTACCTTGAGGTGCTTTATCTGCTTCTTCTCTTTCCTCTTTCATCTTCTTCTTTGCTTGACGTAACTTCATGATAAAATCAAATGACTCACGAGATGAATTGACAAATGTGACAGCCTAAAAACATTAGAAAAGTAAAATTAAAATCAAAATTGTTTCGTAGTTGCTATCTGATTCATGTAAACAGAAAAACATGCAGAAACTGTACATGTACTGTATGTATGATGATCATGATAGCGTACTACAGGTCTCTCAGCTTTAAAGCAGTAGAGTCTGAATCCAGTGTGGGACTCCTTAGTTTGAATGATAACTCCAAAGTAGCACTGATCCTCAGGATCATGAGTAACATAAGTAACCTTATCCACTGGGACACGAGTTACAGACTATAGTTATTAATAGTTATTAATAGTTATTAAGGTGTATTAATAGTTATAAATATTTTAGTGGTGGGCGATACTGGCCAAAATGGATTTGATCCAATACTGATCAATATCAGTCCATATCGGTAGTATTGATACAGTTTCGATACAATATTTAGACCACACCTATGGAGTCACATCTCTTATTATTGACTGTTAATTCAATTTTTTTATGCACATGTATCCACGTGGGTGTAATTACGTCATTAACTTATTAAAATTTTCTTTATTAATATTATTTAAACTCAATAAGTGGGCGTGATCAACATATCAATCCAAATTTCTTTAAAATTTCGATACCGATACGAATCGATACCGTAAAATATCACTTGTATCAATAAAATATCGATATATCGCCCACCACTAAAATATTAGAGGCCATGCTAGTACATGTACCTGTACCTTTGATCTTTCGTCATAAAGTGATACTCATAAAGTTACGACCTAAAACTGCTTTTGGCTTGTGAGCTCTCATATTCTTACTAGCCGTCTATAAAAGGAGAGAAGGAAAACAATGAGCAACAACAACAGTAACGACTGATTCATGAAAATGTGATGATAGTTTTGCTCGATAGATAATAAATCATCCCCTCCCTCTCTCTCTCTCTTTTCTTACCCTCAAAGTAGGCAGGCAGTATCTAGCTGCTTCAGCATCACCACGCCTCCTGTTAACATTCTCAGATCCAACATACTGCAAATTGAATAGTTTAAAATTGAGTGCATCCTGCAATAAATGCATTAAAAAAATACCTTAACTCTAACCTGGAGTCCCTGTCCAGAATATTTGCCCATACAGTGGAGTGCCCACTCTCTCCACTGGTTGATAGTCTATAGATAACAAGAGGTAACAGTAACTGAATGATACACTAATAGTAACAACACACGAGTCATAATCAAGTATAAACAAAATACTCACCTGGTGCTTTGGCTGCCATTTTGTTTGGAGGTAACGCCCTTTCATGACGTCATACTTAAAATTTTGTTTTAAAATTAATTTTAAAGAATTAAAAAATAGCCTATCAAAAAAATTTGCAGCAACAACAAGAACAATAATAACAATAATAATATCTCAATAACTAATAAACAGTGTCATTTAGTTCAGTTTTAATATCATTCATTGTTGGACGGTGTCTATACTCAACTATCAGGCAGCGTTCAACAAGAGACCTAAACGAGGCTCTTCTAATACCATCAATAAGACCTACTCTCTCTTCTGGTAGAGGAATACGTCGTGTTATCATCTCTAGAAGGAGGACACCATAACTGAACACATCCATTGAAGGAGAGTGTTCCCTTGGATTCCCTGCTTCAGGTGCTGAATAGACAGGATTACCAGGATTAGTCGTCCTACCAATCAGAGGCTGAAGATTAGCTGATCCATAATCTGATACCTTAGCCCTCCATACTCCTCCCATTGGTTGAAGGAGTACATTAGCACTGCTGACATCTCTATGTAGTATAGGATGAGGCTTGAAGAGATGAAGGTAATTGAGAGCACAGGCTACATCTAAACTGATGCTCAGTATCGCAGGATAGGCCACTCCTCCACTCTCTAATTCCTTTCTTAGGCTCGTCGGCATTAGCTCTGTCAGGATGATTGGATTACCCTCTGTAGTCGCTCCTATGAACTG